TTTTTTTCTGAGACAGTTTTGCTCTTGTTGCCCAGGCTCGAGTGCAGTGGTACCATCTCGGCTCACTGCAACCTTTGCCTCCTGGGTTCAAGCAATTCTCCTGCCTCAGCCTCCTGAGTAGCTGGGATTATAGGCATGCGCCACCACACTGAACTAATTTTTTGTATTTTTAGTAGAGACGGGGTTTCATCATGTTGGCCAGACTGGTCTCGAGCTCCTGACCTCAGGTGATCCACCTACCTTGGCCTCCCAAAGTGCAGGGATTATAGGTGTGAGCCACTGTGCCCAGGCTAATTTTCATATTTTTTTTTTGTAGAGATGGGGGTCTGACTCTGTTGCCCAGGCTGGTCTTGAACTCCTGGGCTCAAGCAATCTTCCCGCCTTGGTCTCCCAAAGTGCTGGAATTACAGACATGAACCACTGCATCTGGCCCATATTATCTTATTACTTGTACCCCTAGGAGCCCTAGAATTCAGGGACTATTGAATATGTCCATTTTGCAGATGAGCAACTGAGGCTTGGCGAACTGAAGTAATTTACCCAAATCTCATGGAGCTAGTAAATGGCAGGGCTGGGACTAGGCCTGTCTGCCCTCAAAGCTGTCTACTGAGGCCTGCAGGGTTTGCTTCTCCTGGTGGATTCTGAAACACGTGCACTCATGTCCACCCTGAGCTCTCGCTGGGGGAGTCGTGGTTGAAAGAGTAGCCCTGAGTACCCAGCAGTGCCCGGGAAACGTGAGCGCCGCAGATCGCTGGCTTCCTGTGTTTTTCCTGGACTCAGGCCTGCACCCCTCGCCTCTGAGTGCAATAGCTCCATGGACTCCGGCCCCCTCTGGAGTTGTTTGCTTTTCCTGTTTAGTTTTGCCTTTATCCCCCCGTGACCTCCACACTTTTCTGTGGGTCAGCGTTTTGACTCCTGGCCCTGGTCGCGGGAATTCTCATGGGCTCCCTATAGGTACCTGGCCTACCCCTTCCTGGGCTTTTCTGGATAAGATGAATGTACTGCCTATTGGCCAGTGTCTGTCACTGGAGCCTAGAGCCAGGGGAAGAGATGGGGCAGCCGGATTTTGGGAGAGGACAGGGAGACCCATCCTCCCTGGAGGTATCAGGGACTGAGAGGATCAGGCCAAGAGGAGACCAGGCTCAACGAAGCAGTGTTGGCACAGGATGGAAACAGGGCACTGGTGGCCTGTGCCTTCTGAGACTGCTGGGGGTGGGGGACATAGGGGCTCTTGGGAAGGGCAGGTCAGCAAGGCCGGAGGAAATCTTCAAGGTTTTCCAGATTGCCGCAGACCTAGTCTGGAGTTGCTTGGAATCCTGGAATTCTCCTTACATGCGCTGTTTCCCAAATCCGGAGCATTTGAGCCTCCTGTGTCCTGTCCCACAGGGTCCATGTGGGACGTGAGGCCTGGCAGATACCGGCTTTCTGCCCATGGAGTCCCTCATGGGAGGGCTGTGGGGACCAGGTCCTTCTTTCCATTAAAAATCTTTCTCTGAAGGCCCCTTGCCAAATCCCTAAATTGGAAAAGCTGGTTTTTGTGTTTTCTTTCCTTCTTTTCCTCCTCCGAGGGTGGAAACAAGGGCTCCCAGTTTCCAATCAGAGCCAGGACCTTTGGATCCCAGGCTCTTTGAGGACGCACAGACTCTTCGCTGAAAAAGGCACATGCAGGGTACCTGGTTGGCGCATCTCTTCGTGGTATAAATATGCCTTCGAGGAATCCTGTGACGTCCCTCCCTGTATCCCTGCAGCGGTAGGACTCTGCCTCACCATTTTTTATCCTGGTGCCTGGCACAGAGATGGTGCAACAATACTAACAACCTACATGTGCACAGACTTTACAGTTTACATCTTATTTTGATTCTTACAACTGGGAGGCAGAATCACGGCCCTTCCACCCCTTGGAGGTTTCCCCGTCCACATCCCCAGCACCTGCGAATCTGTGGCGTTGCGTGGCAAAGGGACTTGGCAGATGTGATTAAGTGAGGGATTTTGAGATGGGGAGA